TTCTAGATTAGCTCATTAATTTCATTCATTTTATTTTATTAGCTAAGGAGGATTAGGTTGCAATATGTATAGAAAGTTAAGAAAAGTGAATGCTCTAATATACGACAGTATCTGCGCTCTTAAGAAAAGCCCAAATCAATTTTTAAAAAATACTATGGTTGGGCCCTAGCTTTGATATGTTTGTTGAAGTAAGTCTTCTTAAAATTTAATATAGATTCTCGCTTAATATTGTCAAAATTTATTTAAGCATTCACAGATAAACAAATCAATGAGACTATATTTATCATTCTCAACTTTCTCTACATTTTGCATTACATTCATTTAGAACACATCCTTCCTTGTAAAAGAATAAATGAGAATAAAAAGAGAAATTAACCTATGTGTGTCAGTCCAAAGTAATGGGATATAAGCCATGCATAAAGAGTTTTCAAGACGCCAACTCCTGCCCAAAGAAGATAAAGTCGTGTCGTGTAACTATGAAATTCAAGTAGAATAGATGAAACCACTAGGAATGGATGGATCCACACTCCTAACGAGTTGCAAGCTAATAAAGAGAACCTAGGGAGGGCGAATCCCTCAAACACTAAGGCAAAGTAAATAGAGCTTTCTCGAAAGGTGATTTCAAGAGAGAAGCATTGCTTGTTAAGAAGCTGCTAGAATGAAAACCCGCAAAGGGCGTTCTAGGAAAAAAAAATGATGTTTGTTCGAGCTGAAAATTGAGAGACAGCTTGAATGTTCCTCTTGAGAAGCAAGACTCCATGGGAAGCTCTATCATCACTTATACCCATTCCTACTTCTTAGGAAAGTCTCAGGATATGGGTTGACAACACCTTCATGAGAGAAGAAGCCAAAGGACCTCCCTCTACACGAGATCTTCTGAAGTGCCACATCCAAGCAAGTGTAGGACTACCCCTACAGTCAGACAACCTAGGCCTCTCTAAGGGGCTACCTCCCTCTACTTCTCTATGTATGAATCACGAACTCGGGGCATGCCCGGGCCCTCGAGCTACATTAAATGGGCACATGTAAATTGAAAATTCTATTTTAATGACATACACTTTTCTACTTCATTTCTCTTCTCCCTTTTATCTACTCTAAGCCTTGTCAACAAACCTTAAATGAACAAGTACATTTGAAATAAGGACTTCATTAGAAATAATGGCTTAATATGTAATAAAAAAAACATAAAGATCAATCAAATTGGGCATGACTTGTGGATAAAAGTCCAAATGAAATCAGTGCAAGGGGCATCCCCCTTTAATGAAGGAATGAAAGATGATCACAAATGCTGTAAAGACAAAAGCTTGGCAAGAAATCCACTAAGAGGGCAGCGCAAAAATTAGGGCAAGGTCCGCTAGGAGACCCACAAACAAAAAGGGTAGCCTAGGCAAAAGTTAGGATAAAGCAGCATCCCGAGCTAAAAACCGAAAGGCGGCTCGGGAAGATCATTTAATCAATATGCAATCCCAAGTCATCACTTAACTTTGAAGGAAATAATGAGCTACTGTGAAAAATGATTTCCTCACTTTGAATGTGCTTGTTCATTAGTCTAAACCACTAGCCTACCTCGACCATCCATTCTTCTAAAATAATTTTTCAAAAAAATCCTTTCTAACAAAACTTCTACAAAAAATATATGTATATATCCCCTTCCTCTCTTTCCTTTTGACCTATATGGCATTAAGATAAATTTGAGAGATACACGGAGTATGCACAATGAACACTCACAAGGAAAAGATGGAGGTGTCCTACAACAGAGTCTAGGTTCACCTGATCTAAGGGCTAACATATCATATTCGGTACAAGCGAGAGGGTCGAACTACACAAACCTCAGGTTCAAGAAGCAACACTAAGTTCGACAAGGCTAAAGGCTAACAATCCATGTCATTGATCAATGCGCATAGATTAATTTCTTGAAAGTAAAAAATAAATTTACATTTTAAGCATCAGCATAGAAGCATCATTGCATAACATGCACATGACACAAGTGTGCACAAAAGGGTATAACTTCACTTAAAAAAAAATGGAAAAAATCCAATCCATTCC